CCCTATTTACACAGTGTCTCAGCATACACCCACAGCAAAGGGCGGAGACAATGATGAGACACATGAACATTTCTCTAGTAAAATGTATGAATATTCACACTCAACGGGATAAATGAACACCATCAACATTGTTATGTCCATTCAGGTCAGATTTATGACCATAGGAATTTACCAAAAACTATGAAAACATTTTTGTTTTTTTGTTTCTGTTTTTGTTTTTGGTTTTTAAAGTTTTTTGGATTTTGGAACTCCAGATAAGGGATTGAGGTGGTATTTGCCTTCTATTTCCCAGGCCAGCCACACATTGGGCATTTATATGATAGACCTAAAGGCCAATCAGAGACCAATGAGGCCAGGGAAATGGGTTCAGATTTTGTTTTGACACATATTGATTGTGAGTCTTTAGGCAAGACACATTGGAGGCTGGAGGCAAAGATGCAGTGAGGCTCTCTCTTCGGGGGAAGGAGCCTAGGCTGGGGGAGAAATGAGGCGGGGGGGCAGGAAAGCAAAGTCTTTATTGGTTGGTAGTTGGCTGGGCAGTAAGCTTCTAAAATCAACAAGGAAACAACTGCACACCCCCCCCCCCTCCATCCCCGCCTCAAAAAGACACCCTACAATTTGACTTCCACTTCTACTTATTTGGAGTCTTGCTTTCATACACTGTTCTTTGTTGTCTTTTCATTATGGTGCTAACAACCACAATGCTAACATACTTTCCTCATAAATGTGCTCAAAACGCAGAATGCTCAGGGAGAGTTACTGTGCCTCCTGTGTGAACATCCACCCTAGCCCTGTCTTTGGCTAGAGTTTGAATCTGTGGATACCATTTATTAAAACTTACAATTTTAGTGAACAAAGGGCAGTTAAATCCATGAATAGTAGAGGCTTGCATTTGGACTTCCTAATAGTGCCTGTGATTTATTTATCAGGGCCTATATGTACATATAATAGCCTTTAATGACTCAATAGAATTATCCCTGAGGTAAGCTGTTTTAATTAACAAAATTAAGTATAAATGTATATTTATGTTTTCCTCACCATGCAGAAAGAAATGTTTATTTTAATATGTATAAAGTACATTGCTAATATATAATCTTATCAGGATTCAAAATAAGTGGGCAGAATTTTTAAAAATTTAAAAGGATGAAATTTTAGTGGAAAAACTGAAAAGTAGAAACGAACAAAAATAGGTGCACAGACATGCACAAGAAAGAAAATACTGATTTTTAAAAATATATATATTTTATTAATTTTTTACAGAGAGGAAGGGAGAGAAAGATAGAGAGCTAGAAATGTCGATGAGAGAGAAACATCGACCAGCTGCCTCTTGCACACCCCCTACCGGGGATGTGCCCACAACCAACATACATGCCCCTGACCGGAATCGAACCCGGGACCTTTCAGTCCACAGACCGATGCTCTACCACTGAGCCAAACCGGTTTCGGCGAAAATACTGATTTTTAATATCGTTACAGAAAAAAGAATAAAAACAGTTAATGGAATTGTCCTAGTAGAACACAAGACTATGCAATCATTTCAAGCATGCTGGATTGAGAAAATTAAGGGCAGGACCTTTATTCCATTCATTTGCTTCCTGTAAAATGAGGCTGCCTAAGAAAGAAAGCATGACTAACTTCAATTATTTTTCACAAGCAGTGTGTGCAAGTGTGTTATTCAATGGAAGTTCCAAATAAGAAAATATCTATAATAATAAAGGCATAATATGCTAATTAATTGGGCGACCTTTTGGATGAAGCTGGGGCTATGATAGAAGCTCCGGTCCCAGGTGCCAGAGGGAAACGGGTGCCGGCGAAGGGGGGAGGGGGTGAATCTTGTGCATCGAGCCTCTAGTATTATTATAGTTGGGGATATACCAAAAAATTTTCGATTGAGACTGCTGGATTGTTAGAGTGAGTGGAAATATTTGGCAATAAGTATGTTTACCTTCAAATATCTAAATGCTAGATGCAAAATGTTGGAACATAAGTCACTCATTTAATAAGTAGAAATGAACACAAATGGTATACTCACTGAGATCAAGAAAGGAGAAGATTTATTTGATAAGACCTGCAGATGACTACTTTTCTTATATGAAAGAAGTTCAGATGGATCACAAATTCTAAACCAACAATATAATCCTCAGCAAGAAGCCTTGGAAATGGACATTAAAAGATACCTATTAGACCTTATAAAGTAACAGCCCATGGTCTAGGGCACATGTGTCAAACACAAGGCCCACGGGCCAAATCCGTCCCGCCAGGCCTTGCAATGTGGCCAGCACCGCACTGTCATCACTGCACTCCGCTGCGTTTCCATCACAATGACAGTTTATGACTGTTCAGTAAACCATTCGGCCCGCGATTTAGGCTGGATTTTAGATTTTGGCCCCTTCTCTGATTGAGTTCGACACCCGTAGACTTTGATTCTACTATGCCCATTAAATTTCACCCTTCACTCCTCATACTCTACATTAGGGGTGGGGAACCTTTTTTTCTGCCAAGAGCCATTTGGATGTGTATAACATCATTTGCGGGCCATACAAAATTATCAACTTAAAAATTAGCTTGCTATACTTGGCCAAACATTTAATTAACTCACCCCTAATGTCTTGGCAGGGCTAGACCAAATGATTTCTCTGGCCTTACACAGCTCAGGTGCTAGACATTCCCCACCCTTGCTCTACAGGCTGGTTTGCCATTTCCTGTAACTGCCTGCTGGCCACCTGTTCACCTATTCTGACATTTATCTTCAATAATATTAGAGTCTTTCAAAAGGCAGTAGGAACCAATATAGTAAAAACAACCAATCACCAACCAACCAACCAACCCAACACATAAAAACCCCATAAATATAAATAATCTCTGTATGTAAAGTTCCTTATCTAAACCTGACTGCATCCCACTCCATGTAATTATGCCCTTGCGCAGGCACTCACTGACCACCTCTGCTCTAATTTCCTGAGAGAACAATAGAACCTCATATCTGCTGAGGCACTTTCTTATTTTGTGGAAAGTGTGGGATGCTGTGACTTCCTTCAAATTTCTGTACTAATCTTTGCTTTAGCTGGTTTGGCTCAGTGGATAGAGTGTTGGCCTTCAGACTGAAGGGTCTTGGGTTCTATTCTGGTCAAGGGCATGTAACTCGGTTTCAGACTGCTCCCAAGCCTGGGCCCTGGTCAGGGCCCGTGCAGGAGGCAACCAATCATGTGTTTCTCTCACATATTTCTTTCTGTCTTTCCCTCTCTCTAAAAATCAATGGAAAAATATCCTCTATCCTCAGGTGAAAAATTTAAAAAATAAATTTAAAAAAATATCTGCACTAGTCTTTAAGGGAAGAGCCTCATGCTTCACACAGTTTAGAGACATGGAATTCTAAATATGTTTTCATTTTTGTCATGTGTTGGGAGCCATCAGAGTTGAGACAAGCAACTCCGTCTTAAGGAAATAGAATTAAGTTCCTTCTAGCAGAAGTTATGCGGTGCCCTGAGGGTTTGGCCAGAAGCTAAGATTAACCTACCACTTAGCATCTTTGCAACTTCCCCTTCCTGATCCTCCCCCCCCATAGCTAGCCCAGCCTTGGAATATTACACCTTGGAATGTTACACCGCCCTGGCAGTTAGCCAATCCTGTGTTGCCAGATACCTTAACACCTTGTCACTCAGTGCCTAAACCAATTGTACACTGCCAAAGATCCCTCTGCATAGGCAACCCTGCCCCCCCCCCCCCTTGTTTCTGCTGTATATATACAGCCATTTCAAAGAATAAAGTTCGAGGCTTGATCAGAACCTTGTCTTGCCTCCGTTCTTCCGTGTTCCTTGTTTGTTTCATTCTCTTAGGTGGTTCCTGCGTACCCCCGTTGTTGCCCCACGGGTCGGGACAGTCATGTCTTCCTCTTTCCAATTTCTAAAGATGGTCTTAATTTCACTTTTTATTTTTTACTTTTTAAATACATTTCATTGATTTTTTACACAGAGGAAGAGAGAGGGTTAGTTAGAAACATTGATCAGCTGCCTCCTGCACACCCCCTACTGGGGATATGCCCTCAAACAAGGTACACGCCCTTGACTGGATTCTAACTGGGACCTTTCAGTCTACAGGCTGACGCTCTATCTACTGAACCAAACCGGTTTCAGCATTAATTTCACTTTTTAAAACCCTTTTCTCAATTTTGCCTGCCTCTTCTGCTGTACAAAGTAAACTACAGGGATTGCCACACTTTTAAAGCACTGGCTCTGTGCCAGGTATGTCCTCAGTACTTCACAGATATTTTGCCTCTTTATTCTCCCAACATCTCTCTAAAGAGGCATCATGCTGACCATCTCCATTTCACCAGTGAGGAAACTGAGTTTGAGAGAGGTTAGGTGAAGCACCTTGCTCAAGATTGCACCATTGTTAAGTTCAACCTGAGCAGTCTGACTACAAAACCTGGCTCTTACCCATTCCTATAGTGATAGTTCTGTCATTCTACTAGATTATTTTTTTTGTGTGCCTTTAGATCTGGACCATTTTATCCTCTCCTATTTAGAAGGTCTTCAGTTATTATGGTAAGCCAGAAATCAATGCTAAAAGTATTTTGAAGCCCATTTAACTTTTCCTTAATGAGACGTTTTCTAGTCCGATCATCATAGAATTAACTTCCCCTGAATCCCAGTGGCCTCCCCTGTGTGCAATATAGAAATTTTAATAACCGTATCAGAGGGTTATTGTGGTACAGGGTATTAGAAAATTACAGTTGAGCTCACTCCTGTATATGGCTGTGGTGGGACCTTTTTGCTTGGCTTGCTAGACTTCAGAACCTTAGTTTTAATGGTCACTTAGGGTCCATCCAGTCCAAGAATCTATTTATCAATACCTGGAGGCATCTGCATTTAGTGCTTTAAGAATTAAAAAAAAATTGTATTTGTATTTAGGAATACAAAAATATTTTTTTGAGGATCACCAGAGTCACATTCTGTGTTTAATTACATACATATTCTTATTCAAATGTGCCACTTACCCATTTATTGCTTCTCAGCCCCAGCGTTACCCTCCAGTATCTGTTATGCTGTGAACAAAGGATGGACTTCCTGGGAGCAGTTCTTCTTTACAGTGAGCATGAAGTCCAGCTTTCTCAGTACAGGGTGCTGCAAGGACCTGGCAGGAGGAAGGGGACCTCCTGTTACAGTGTTTGCAGAGTCAGGGAGAGTTGTGGGTGTGAGGACACAGGACTGTCCTCTGCCCCAGACAAGAACCCAGATGCATGTGTGACTCTCCACCCCTCTGCCGTTCAGCCCAGCTTGGTGATCATTTGCTGCTTCCTTCTTGACAGAGAACAGTGCAGCTCAGGCCCCCATAGCCACCTTCATTTCCTCAGCATGCTCACATCCCAGGCTGCGAGCTGTGGCTCACCAGTATTCCAGCCTTGCTAGGAGGGCTGGCCACAGACTGCGGAAGCCTGTGCCCCAGAAGGTGGCTTCCTTCCGTGCCCAGCAACTGGAGAGCAGCTCTGGTCCACACAAACCCGCACACCTCTCTGCCTCCAATCTCATCTTCTCCAATGAAGTCTGAGCTCAGCCTTGGGGAAGAGGTCCCCCGTCCAAATTTGGCCTTTCTTAGGTATTCTCTCAGTCCTGGGGTTCCACATATGGTTTAAAAGACAGCTTACAGCTACTCTTTGGTCATAGTTTAATAATCCTTTATGTTAAACTTTCTCTGTTTAAGTCACTGTGGTTTCTGTCTCTCGATTGGGCCCAAACTGCTACATGATGTTTATACACAACAAAACATATACATTGGGTTCTGGTGTCAGACTCCTCCTCCCTAAGTGTTTTTAACCAGAAAGCTCTTTGTTGTTTTCTTTCTCTTTTTCCTCCTTCCCTCTCTCTTTGCTCCCTCTTCCTCCTTTTTCTCTTTCCCTCTCTTTCTCTCAAGACTGGTGGCTGGACAATGTGGCCTTTCCCTCTCTCCCTCCTGAGATGCTGCCTGGTGTTCTGCTGAGGATACCAGGTTTTCTTTTCCCGAGATCAGCAGTGACCTCTGCTTGCTGTGGCGGTGGGAGGGGCTTTAACGCTGGTCTGGCAGGGAGCTTTTCCAGTCCTAGTGTCCCACAGGAAATGGATCCCCCCATTCATTCAGCACCAGGGCACTCCCGGTGGAATTCCACTCAGGTCAGAATACAGCTTCCCTCCATGAAATCCATGCAGTGTTAGAAATGCTGGAAAAGAAAGCCATCATCTGATGGTGTTTCTAAGTGGAAAACAGCTAGACATTTTAAAATCCATAGTTCTTGTAGGACAAAGGATGGATACCTATCCATCCTTCTGATTGTGAATAGATAATAGTCTCCCACAGGGAGGAGCTCTGTAGGAACGACAGAGGTTCTAGACTAAGTTTCGGATTGGGGAATTTGAGGCAGGAGTGAGTGGCAAATATGTCAGGAAGCTCCTCTTTACAATACTTGACAACTCCCAGAGGACTCTCCCCTTCCAGATTCACCACATTCTCTTTCCTGCTCCAGCAAAACAATTATGCTCTAGGCACAGAGGAGCAAATTTCCTGCTGTTAAACATTCTACAAATGAGAAAAGCAAGGAAGAAACATTTGTCTCCTACACCACAGGAAAATCACAGTGAAAAAGATGCGGAGAAGGATATTGCATGTTTTCCCTAGGATAGTATTCCCCTCTACTGGTGAAAGCCTGTAATATGTTTTTCCCTTTAGAGCAGCTGTAGAAAGGAGTCATAAGCCAGGATTACTGTTTCTGATTCTTGGGGAACATTTGGTGTTTTCTTGCACATAATGTGTTGTTTTTAGAGCTTGACAAACCCCCAGGGACATCACGTGTTACCTCTTCTTTTATTTTCCTGAATATTGAACTTGGAAATTTTCTTCCCCAGACAATGCTCTGGTGTCTGGGGAGAGACTGCATTTATTTACCAAGTGAGCATTTCTCTTCCAGCCTGAGTGTTATTTTCCTCAGAGCTGACCTAATTATAACTTAGAAGGAAGCTCGTTCAGTGTTTATCCCTGGAGCTCTCAGTCTCTCTCCCTGGAGGATTACTAGTGCAGTTGCATTCCAGAGATGAGATGTGATAGAAACCTTGCATATAACTCTGTTGAGTCCTTTGGACATAAACAAGGTCCTTTGGACATAAACTTGAGGTTATCTTATTGATTTCTGTCTTCGGAAGGTGAAGTCAATCCTGTAGGAAGTGAGCTACTCTAATGATTCACATGGGAAAACCCAGAGGAGATGACTTATTAGTTTCAAATTGGATAACTGAGCCCTATTTTAACACTAGTGTAACTTTTCCACTGATATTTAACACGCAGTGGATGAAGGAAATACATGTAAATAGAAAAAGAAATAGAAAATTGACTTTTGGATTAGGCTCATCTCCACATTCATCTTGACATTTTGATGGCGATAATGGGGTAGATCCTTTTAAAGTATACCTACAGGCAGCTTTTCAGAGTATCACCTGAAAACTGTTGCATTACCAGTGGGCTGGTGTCATGTATGAGCATAAATGTTTAAATGCATCCTTATAGCTCACTAATAATTATTCCAAATGCAGCTCCCAATTAATTTTGACAGCTTGGGATGCCCTTCCCAATCTCTTGTTTCTCCTCCTCCCTATGTTTTGAATTGGATATTCACATTCTCTTAAAATGAACACTATTTTAGAAAATGTTAAAATGTAATTTTTTCAAAAAGGTTAAAATCATAACTCATAAAGATAAAAATTAATAGGAGTAAAAATTTTATTCTACTCATTAACCAGTGAGAATACCAAATAGATGTTAAAACTGGTTCAAAAGAGAATCTTACCCTGGCCAGTGTCACTCAGTTGGTTGGGTGCACCAAAAGGTGTGGGTTCCATTCCAGCTCAGGGCATATTCCAGGGCTCATTTTCAATATGGGATGTGCAGTAGGCAGCCAATTGATGTTTCTCTCTGTTCAATGTTTCTCTCGCTCTCTCTCCCTCTGCCTTCCTCTTTCTCTAAAATTGATAAAAACATTTTTTTTTTTTTTAAAGAGAGAATCTGAAAAAACAAACAAAAACAACACATTTCTAAATCAGGAATATTGAAATGAATGTGCAAATGGAGGCAAAATTGATTTTCCACAGGAGGGAAAGGGAAATCAGTTGAACCTCTACTGGGCAGAACATAATTTGTATTATACATCAATAGAAAATAATTATTTCGCATTGTTACTTCTTACCTCCAGGGAAATAAAAGGCTGGAATCAGATAATCCTGAAAGTGTTCTCAAGGGCCCAGATAACACAGAGTTTTCCAGTGAAGCACATTTTTTTTTCCCTACAAGAGAAGATAATTTTTTGTTTGTTTGTTTGAAACTCTTCTCTATCAGTTTTCTTAGAAAACAGGTAGATTCAAGGCTTACTCTTCAACTTCTGGGTTTTCATATCAGATTCTTTTGGATTTTTACTTCTTTTGCTCGGAACATAGTGTACTTAGGTCAGAATTTGCATAGTACATAGTTTGAGGTGTCTCCCGGCCCCTTGAAGTTTTACTTAACTGTGTGAAATAACCAATTTTCTCTTGTTCCTTAGCATTCATTCTATTTCCAATTACCTACTTATCTGTTGCCAGGTCTAAGAAAACAGAGGTAGATCAGACAAGGTTGCTGTCAAGGAACTTGAATACAATAGATGAATTTTATTCCAAAAACTCAGAGGTTCAAGAAATATCAACATACTTTATTTTATTTAAATCAAATTTATTCTGAATTTGAGACCAACACAGCTGCTTGGCAAATAATTTAATCTTAGTCATTACACAGCTTCCTAAGGGTCATTTGAATGTTCCAAGGGTTATAAAAAAGCAACATATTTGGGAGTTTGTCTATGGTCTTTGGTTTCATAGGGAAAAACTGTGCAATACTTTGCAATTTAGTAAGAATCCTGGCTAGCTCATCCATGTTGTTATTTCTTCTTTTGCTTGTGTTTGACTATGTATCTTATAACTCTGCAGAGATATTTAACTTGTAGAACATTACTAATTATGTAAATGTATTATGTGCATAACTAAGTAAATGATTCCTGTTTATGGCAATGTAAATTAATTTTGTCAGATAGAAAATATAAATCTCTGGAAGTTAAACTTCCATTTGAGCTTGCTTTTATATATCTTACTGGTTCCATCAATAATTATTGGGTTAAATAAAATCCCCGATGTGTTCATTTTATATTTGTATATTCATGATTTTATCCTTTTTTAAGATATATCCTGGTACAGTCACGTGAATATGATCCCACAGAGGTGCACAAGTCATGTGAAGTGGTTCCTGCCTCAGTAGCCAGGCTAGTCTTTGCCAGGTGTCTGTTTTCAGGGCTGCTGCGTGGTTGTGTAGACTTTGGAACACTCGACCCCAGGGAGTGTCTTTCACATAGACTAGGGGTAAAATTGTTCAGATAGTAAATATGCCAATGGGAATAGGCTTTTGTGATAATTACTCAATTCAACAGTTGCAAAAATAGTTGCAGCCCTAGGTAATATATTCATGAGTAGACATGTCTGTGTCCCTCCAGATTTTATTTATGGAAACAGGTGCCAGCCCCTGGGCTATAGTTGTCCAGCTCCTGACACACACTGGGGCAGTTTGTCAGTAACCCCCCCTGAAAACCTGGGAGAGAATGAGACGTAGGGCCTCACCAGGTACAGCTCTCTTTCTTTTGTTCTCATACTGGCTCCTCAAAAAGCATGATTTGTCTCATTACCATTTAGCCCAGTCTTTTGAAAATAAAAGACAGAAGCAAAGATGTTAATAAACATTGTCTTGGTCCCACAATGTCTCTGAATCAAAGGACTGAAATACTGGCCACCTTGATGGAACAGGAGAGGAAAAATACAAGATCAAATTGCAAACTGAGATCTCAGTAAGCTATCCTGTCAGAGAGATAAAAACTTATATTTTTATAATATTTAGTTTTTTAAACTTTCGTACTTTTTGTGAAATACTTCACAGTTTTTCAGAGGATTTTTTAATAGACACAAAGACAGAGAAAGCAAATCATGAAGAGCTAAGTCAGTGGTGCTATAGTTAATGTTTATCAACTGGCTGAAGACTTTAAGCTAGGTCAGAAAAAGCCTCTGCCTGGTGCTTCTGGTGTGTTTGTTTGCTTGGAAGGAAACTGGCTAAAATATAGGAAATCTGACCATCTGAGTCCACCTTGCTGGAAAGGACACATGCAGGTGCTTTGATAGATGGACACTATCAACTGCCAGCTGTGTGGATGAACTGTCCTGGGCTTGAAAAGACATTTCCCCAAAGATGGCCAACAGATATATGAAAAGATACTCACCATCACTAATCACCAGGAAAATGCCAATCAAAACCGCAATGAGATATCTCCTCACACCTGTTAGAATGACTATTATCAAAGAGACAACAAGTAACAAGTGTGGTCAGTGAAATATGGTAGCACTCATACTTGGGTAAAAACTGCTGTTTGAATTTTAATTTTAACCTTGCTATCTGACTTCGACCTTCGATTACTTGCTTGAACAATAGGGTAGTTGCAGGAGATTGACTCCCACTGACTCAGTAGCTTCAGTAGTTTCTACAGGGGTAGAAACTGTAGATAACCTTTAGTTCTGCTTTTGTATTATGGGCAAGATGGGGTCACATTCCAGTGTCAAGCAGGGTGTGACTGGGAACCAACCCTGCAGGCTGTCCCCAGTCTTTAGAATTTAGTCCTGAGGGGCCAATCAGGGTTAGCCGAGGCAGTGACATCACCTACCTGAATAAAACTCCTGGACTGGGCGATATTCGCTCTCTTCCGCCATGCTGCCGGCATGAGTGGGATAGCCTATGCTAGCATAGAGATGGCTCTTTGTTTATTGCATCGGACTCGGCTCCCTGGTGGTCCTTGGGGATCATGACTGGAATCCCCAGCCAGGACCATGAGGGACCCCCATTCCGAAGAGCCTGACTGGCCGCGGTAGGTGTGTGTTTGTCTGTGTTTTTGTGTGAGCGCTCTGGAGGGACTGCCCCTCCATCGGGGCTCTCACCTGGGTGTTTACCGGCTGCTGCGTCAGCCATGGTTTGAGTCCAGATTCGAATCTGTAATAAATTCTAGCATGCTTAATCAAATTGGCTCCGGTAGTCCATCTCTTGGGGACTCGCTTCGTAATAGTCAGGATGTGGGGAAAGGGAAACCCTCATGTACAGTGAGGTTGTAAATTGGTACAGCTGCAGTGAAAAACACTATGGAGGATCCGCAAAATAATTAAATGGGATTATCATACAACCCAGCAATTTTCACTTCTAGGTATTTATCTGAAGAAAATAAAGACACTAATTTGAAAAAACATATGTACCCCTATGTTCATTGTAGCATTATTTACAATGGCCAAAAATGGAAGCAACCTGGTGTCTATTAATAGATAAAATGGATTAAAAAGAGGTGTTTGATACACACACACACACACACACACACACACACACACATATGTATATATATATATATATATATTCCCAAAATATATATACACATTCTTTGAATAGTTATAAAATCAGTGTTTATTAAAATGCATTTCATTTTCAAAATTGAGCTATCAGCTGGTAAAGTGTGTTTTCATTTTTGGGGGACAACCTGTGTAATATACTCAGCCATAAAAAAGAATGAAATCCTGCCATTTGTAACAACATGGATGGACCTAAAGGTTTATTATCCCAAGTGAAATAAGCCAGTCAGAAAAAAAAAAATAAATACTGTATGATTTCACTTAGATGGATTCTAACACAACAACAACAAATGAATGAATAACAAAACAGAATTAGACTCATCTATACAGAGAACAACCTGATGATAGCCAGAAGGGAAGCGGGTGGGAGACATGAGTCAAAAAGCTGAATACAAGTAAGAGGTACAAACTTCCAGATATAAAATAAATAAGGCACAGGGATGCAATGTACAGCTCAGAAAAAAAGGTCAGTAATATCCTTATAGCTTTGTATGGTGACAGATGGTTACTAAATTTATTGTGGTAATCATATCATAAGGAGTATAAATATAAAATCACTACTAATATGTCAATTATAAATAATAAATTTTAAAAAGATATAAAGAATGCAATATTTTTTTCTAAGTGATTGAATAAAGAAAGTGTCTTTTGTTTTTCCAAAACAATCTCCTTTCAGTTAATATCAGTGAAGTCACTTTCAGAGAGCCCCTAAGTTTGAGGGCTGGTTGCCAGGAGAACCAGTCATGTGATTAGAGGGGTTGCAACTTTCAGGTCCACCTTCCAAGATCAGAGGATGAGAGAAGGGCTAGAGGTTGGATTAATCCCCAATGACCAATAATTTACTCAATCATGCCTACATAATGAAGCCTCCATAAAAATCTCTAAAGTACGGGGATCAGAGAACTTCCCGGTTGGTAAACATGTGGAGGTGCTGGGAGGATGGTGTGCTCCGAGAGCCCATGGACGTTCTGCTTCTCTTCCCACATACCTTGCTGAGGTACTTCTTTCATTTGGCTGCTCCTGAGTTACATAATTTTATTAAAAAAAAACAACCGGGATTATAATATGTTAAATGTTTTCCCAAACTCTGTATGCCATTTAGCAAATTAATCAAACCCAAGGAGGGAGTTGTGGGAACCTCTGATTTCAGTCAGAAGCATGGGAACAACCCATGTGGTGTTGTCTGAAGTAGGGGCGATTAATCTGTTTGATCTGACACTATCCTCAGGAAGTTAGTGTTAGAGTTTAAATTGGTGGACACCCAGTGGATGTCTGCCAGAGAATTGGAGAATTGTTTGGAAAACCTCACACATCTGGACACAGGAGTGTTCAGTGTGAGTCGTAGAGAAGAAACAGGAGTGTTTTTCCTCTTTTAGGCACTAATCGCATTCACGAGGCCTCCATTCTCATGACCTAATCACACCTTCCAAAGACCCTATCTCTAATCACATCACTTTGGAGGTTAGTATTTCTCCCCTTCTAGCCCGCTCCACCCCCACCCCAGGCCTTCACCACACTATTGTCTGTGTCCATGGCTTATGAATATAGGCCTACAAGTTCTTTGGTTGATCTCTTCCCACCCACTCCCCCATTCTCCTCCACCTTCTCTCTGAGATTCCACAGTCTGTTCCATGCTTCTATGCCTCTGGATTTTAATATGTGAATCTTAGGTGTAGACAAACGTTCAGTCCATAACATGATGTGTAGAAAATAGTGCATATGTTCACAAAAGTATTTGTATAAGAATATTCGTGTTAATAAGATTACTTCCAAACTAGAAACAGCCCAAATATTCATTAACAGGAACATGTCTGAATATCTATATCATTAAAGGAAACAATTTTCTTTAATAGTAAAATGAACAATGTTGATATAATATCCTTTCCTTATTAAAGTTATTTTTTAAAAGAAAAGAGAATACATGAATAAAAAATAGAACAATTGTGAATCAACAGGCTTTTAAAAACATTAAAAGTAACTAACACTAATTTGCATTGAGCTGCTTTTCAAAGAGAAGAGATTGCCCCTGCAAAATACAAAGCTTGGAAGCTGAGAAAATGACCTGCAAGCCACTTAAATGAGTAACTCCTAAATGACACACAGTGGGCCAAGCTTCATTTTAAAACTTTTAATTATTTCCATGTAGATTTTGATCTATTGTTTTATTTGGATTATGGGTAATCTAATCACATGTAACCATTATGAAATCACTAAATTTCAGACATTTTATTTTTAGTATTAAAAAACATTTTCTAATAATTTTTTTTCTTGTTTTTAACGTATTTTCAAAGCTCATTGTGTTTTAGGGGCTATTAATTAGAATGCACTCACTTGTAGATCAGTCTGTTGTCCAGTAGAGAAGTGTGGGCCAATCGAAGGCACTGGGGACCAGTGAATGATGCGTGGTGATAGGTAAGTCAGAGCTCTCTTCCCAATAATTCTAAATTATTGATTTGGGGGATTTCAGCTCTAAAATCAGCCTGTATTGGACTATAATTATTATAAACACACCCTGTTGTATGAATGAGTAATTAATAGCATGCATTTATTTAAAGGTCAGTGTAACAATGACACAGAGCATTCTTAGATTTACAATAAGATGTTAGATCTGGCTCCTAAAGTAATGAGTTAGTTTGGATCTGTGCCCTAAGGCTCATCTTAGTCTTAGGTATTTGCTTCCATCACTCCATTTCTAAAATAAATGAGCAAAGATGGAATGTTCAAACATTTAGGTACCTTTTTGGAGCTTAAAATAAAATGGTGTATTTGTTTCTGATGTAGCCTTTATTCCATCAGAAAAAACTACGTTTCTTAGGTTGAGATCAAAGTTTGTAGGTCTGTAGAGCACCCCAGAGATTGAAGATTTAATTTTCTCTCATGAGAGGTGTTAAAAGCGGAATTTAGAGTTCTTTGTTCAAATAAGAACAAAAAGCTGAGAAGCCATGGTACTACAACCCTTACAGAAGTCAGCCAGTATGCATGTGCTGCCCAAAGAACACAGTGAGGTTGCAAATTGAAATTTCCTCTCAAAAGGCCAGTGCCCAGTAGGCCTTGCAGTACAGCAAGGAAAGAAACATTTCTTCTCTCTTCCACTGCAGCTGCCACTGTCATTCTGTGCTGATCTCCAGGTGGCTGAGGTTCCTGCACAGCTCCTGCGCTATCAAGCATGACCATAGACCCCATGTCATACTCCCTGACTCCAGGTGCTGCCTCATATCTTCTTACTTCAGAGGCTTAATAGAAGTCATAATTTAGAGGCTACACTCTTGATGAGTTCAGAGACTGTAACGTTAGCCTGTAACTGAGTCACAGGCCATTGGGTACCAGATGCTTACAATCCACTATTCAATGGAGGCTTTATGCTTGGTAAAGCCTGACATTTTTAAAAGATATGAGATTTAGTGTCCAGATAAAATCTTCTACTAATATTTATTTTGCTATTTGTTTTTATCCATACACCGAGGAAGTATAAAAGTGTGTGGCATATCTAAAAATATAAAAACAGTCAGCAAATAGATTGAAAGAGATGATAGGTCAGGGACACTTAGGACAGGAAGGAGTGAGTGGATAAGGAGAAGAGTGATCCAATGCTACATACTTGGTGTGGAGTATCTGCTGACCCAGAAGGACACAGCTGAGATCTTTGCTGCATTTCTAAAAATTCAAGTTGACATGATATACATATATGGTAGCACCTCTGGTTATACATATTTAGCAGGAATGGCACAGAAGTGATGCAGTTTTTCTCATTAACCCTGTGAGGTGGCACACGATTTCAACTTGTTACACTAGTAATGACTAGAGGCCCGATGTAGGACATTCATGCACTGGGGGGGAGGAAGGGGGTGGCGAGGTTGGTCCTTCAGCCCGGCCTGCGCCCTCTCACAGTCTGGACCTAAGGGAG